GGTGGCACGTGCCTATAGTCTAGCTGCTCGGGAAGCTGAGGCAGGAGGATCCCTTGAGCCCAGGAGTTCAAGGTTACAGTGAGCTACGATTGTGCCACTGTATTTCAGCCTGAGTGACAGAGTGAGACGCTGTCTCAAAAAAAAAAAAATTCTAGCTTCAAGTTCATACTTCTTACAATGAAAAATTTAAATTTATTTATTCTTGGGCAATAGAAGAATAAATCATAAACATTTTTAATAGAGAATTAACTCCGAATTTTTAGTTTTTGTCCCTTAGAAAAGATGGATTTTTTTGGCTTTAAGTACTGAGAGAATTTCTGAGAGACCTATGGCAAACAGGGAATTTGCACTTTTATAGCAATGTCTTTTGAAAGACTATCTGAAATCCTAAGGACGCAGCAGAACAAACATGTTAGACTTACCTTATCATGTCATTGATTAGCAAGTTAAATGGAAAACAAAATGGAACCTTTGAGTCCAGTACATTCATCCCCTTAGGCCCGCTGTCATCTTAAAATTAATTAATAAAATACAGTGTGTCTTTCTGGGAGATTGCAGCAGTCTTCTCTCCATATAGTCACCCAAGATTCTCTATGGGAATCATATCAATGCAGACCAAAAGAGCAGAGATTCCAAATCACCAAAAGGCACACATAAAGTATATTAAAAGACAGTGATCCAAAACACTAACACCATTAAAAGAAAAAGTGGAAAATAATAAAGTAATATAATGCGGTCTTGCAAAAAATTACAATGTGTAGCTTGTGTTCTTACATTATGAAATATGTCTCACCCATTCCTGGCCCCTGCAAGGGCAGGCATGCTACCCTTCCATCCTTTCCATTCTCCCTGCACATGCCATTCAAGTGTTTCTGCACATGGCTGTTGTATTAGTCCATTTTGCGCTGCTATAAAAAATGCCTGCAGCTGGGTAATTTATAAAGAAAAGAGGTTTATTTTGCTCACGGTTCTGCAGACTGTACAAGAAGCATGGAGCCAGCATCTTCTTCTGGCGAGGGCTTCAGGGGCTTCCAATCAAAGTGGAAGGTGAAGGAGGAGCAGGCGTGTCACATGGCGAGAGTGGGAGCAAGAGAGGGAGGAGGAGGTGCCACCTTCTTTTAAACAACCAGCTCTTGTGAGAACTGGTAAAGCAAGAACTCACTTATTACTGGGAGGGCAAAAAGTCATTCATGAGGGATCTGCCCTCATGGCCCAAATACCTCCCACCAGGCTCCACATTCAACACTGGGGATCAAATTTCAACATAAGATTTGGAGGGACCAAACATCCAAACCATATCAGCTGCGTTAACAACAATTTTTAAAAATTAAGTTATTAAGTATGAAATGTCCAATTTCCTTAAGTACTAAGTTTGACAGTTGATATCATTGACATTTCATTTTGACACTTCTTGTTTTATTTTTATTGTGTAGGCACATCCTCAGTCTTTCAAACGCACATTTGGCTTGTGATTATCTTTCAAGTTTGTTTTTAGAGTAATTTTTGTGAAACCATGGATAAGTCAAAAATTTGTGTTATTTTCTAATATGAGTTCTGTCATGGAACCAATGCAACATAGACAGCTCAAAATATCAACGAAGTGTTTGGGAAGAATGTGGCTAATGAATGCCCAGTATGTCGATGGTTTGAGAAGTTCTGTTCTGGTGATTTTAATCTTGAAAATGAGCCACATGGGTGACCTGAGACCAACATGGATAATGATGAGCTAAAAGCTGCAGTGGAAGCGAATCCATCTCAACCTACGCATGAATTAGCAGCAAGATTTGATGTTACTATTCCAAAAATATTGGACCATTTGAAACAAACTGGCAAGGTAAAGAAGCCGGATAGATGGGTTCCTCATGAATTAAACGAGCGTCAGAAGAGAAATCGTCTCAAAGCTTGCCTTTCTTTGCTGTCATGACATAAAGGTGAATCATTTCTACACCATATTGTTACATGTGATGAAAAATGGATTCTTTTTGACAATTGCTAGCATTCAGCACAATGGTTAGATAGTGGTGAAGTGCCGAAACACAGTCCAAAAGCAAATATTCATCAAACAAAGCTAATGGTGTCTGTTTGGTGGTCCAGCGCTGGTATTATCCACTACAGCTTCATGAAACCTGGTCAATGGATTACAGTGGATATCTACTGCAACCAATTGGATGAAATGATGTGGATGCTTGCGATTAAGCATCCAAGATTGGTCAATAGAGACAAGCCAATCCTCTTGCAAGACAACGCTTAACCACATGTCACACAAACAACACTGCTCAAACTGCAGAGGCTGGACTTGGAAACTCTCTGTCATCCACCATATTCACCAGACCTTGCACCAACTTACTACCACTTTTTCCAGGCCTTGGGCCACTTCTTGCAAGGAAAAATATTGAATTTTCAACAAGCTGCGGAAAACACCTTTCGCGATGTCATCGCCACTTACTCTCCAGGCTTCTTCAATGCTGGCATAAAGATTTTGCCACTAAGATGGCAAAACCATGTCAATAGTTTAGTTGCATATTTTGATTAATTGTACTGCGTCTTGTTGGAGAGCTAATAAACTACATTTTTGATTCGAAATAGGACATTTCATATTTAATGACCTAATACCTGAGTCTGCCTGGCACACACAGCTCAGAGATCTTGTGATTAGTTCTTTCCATGTTGAGCACTTCCATGACCACCCTAAATAACCAATCCCTCCATCTCCTACCCCCCTCACACACATACACACACACACACACACGCACGCACACACACGCACGCACATACACGCACCATCTCTGAGTCTCAGTGCCTTCTAATTACTGATATCCCTAATTACTACCGGAAATTCTTTGTATTTGTTTACTTGTCTGTGTTCTGCCTCTGCCCCAAAGGAGGACTCTGATGTCTTGTTTGTCACTCATCCTCAATCCCCAGCACCTGGAAGAGTATATGGCTTAGTGAGTAAATGCTCATTAAATATTTGATGCTTAAATGTTTAGATCAGATAGTTTCACAATTGACTAGAGGTGAGAGCTACTTAATTGTTTCTTTGACTGGGGTTTTCCGTCAGATAGAAACATACAGAATATACAGATGTTTCCTTGCCCTGGAAGACAGACAGAGCAGAAGATTGTGGGAAATAGCTGTTTCAGCAGCCCCTGGATTGACTCCAAACACAATGTTTCTTTCTAGGCCAGAGAATCGACGGACACTGTCCAATACAACATGATTAGTCAAAATATCTGATGCGTCCTTGATCTGTACTAACAGATGGGCCTCCTGGTTGAGCTGAAAAGTTCTTCTCTTCCTCATTGCTACTAGTAGCTTATTTTTACATTTTTCCACTTCGCTTCTGTTGCTTAAAAGCACAGCAATATCTCTGGGAGAATAACCATTCCTGAAGAAAAAATGGCACTTATCTGCCACATACTTCACCATACTCTCCAAGTCCAGGTTTCTAATAATGTCAAAGTTGCCTGGTATACCCTGAGGCCATTCAGGTTCATGGAGCATCTGTAGGGACCTAGTGGGGAGGTTGGGTGGATACTTGTTTCTGATCTGCTGCATTACCTGTTGCATGTAGTTGGCTATTGGATCTGCACTGCGGAATACTCTGGTGAGCTCTTCTCTTGGGTTCTGGTATGAGAGAGGAGGGAGGCCACTGCAATACATGTGGCTGGTCTGGAAATAGTCCAGAAAGATCCAGAGAATTCCTGGGCAATCCTTAGCTCTCTGAGTGATGGTTTTTGCCTTCTCGTACCAGTCCCCATCTTCACTGCGGAAATTCTGAGCTTCATCGATGATGACGTGTTGAGTATCTTTAAAGACATTTTTCATGAAGGTTTTCCGGGTCACTGCCTGGCAGATGTTTTTCATGCTGAAAATGTAAGAAACAAAGTCAAGTTTCCCCAGTGAAACAAAGGAAGCCAATTCTATTCTTAAATTCCTCTGGACATGGTAAAAACAACATGAAGCTTAGCATGTAAACTTAAAGCCACACTGGCCAAAGTTTCTCAAGAAGAGAAAGTGAACAGAGACAGACTGCGTACCTTACAAACTTCTTTAGGGGCTCGTTCTCACAGATGTAGAGAATGTGATCTGGTTGACAATGAAACACATTCCTGATCTTCTGTATTATTTTAAGAGCCAGGATGGTCTTCCCCGATCCAGGCAAGCCATGAACAAACAGCTGTCTAGTCCTGTGAAGGTTCTTTGAAAGCAACTCATACTGTTTATCTGTGAGTAGGTGCAAAACCTCAGAGCCCAGATCCTCACTTAAGAAGGATCTACACCCAAATAAGACTATCACCAGGGACTGTAACAGAGCTTCCATGTCCTGGGTGGTTGTAAGATTATAGGACTCGGGGTAAATTTGCAAATCCGAGCCATAATGAGTCTGTGCTGTCCTATCAGGATTGAGCAGGAGGACCAAAGGAGTGATGCATAGTCTCCCAGTGTAGCCACCTGTGTTCACCAGCTTCTGCTTCAGAGAATGGGCAACTATCATAGAATAGCCCTTGCACCCCGCATCCAACTCCCTGAAGACAGAGTAGAAGATTGGAGTGTTGTTCTGAGAAATTAGAAGAGCTTCACAGATGACTCCCTGCTTCTCTTGCAGACCTAAGTCCACAGCCCAGCTTTGAGAAAAAATCAATATTCCTTGAGAGACAGAGCGCATTTCTTTATTTATTAATTCTCTGAGTCCTTTATGTTGTGAGAAGAGTTCCTTGTAGAGGCTTTCCGGAGTATATACCACTGTATCTGGTAATACTAGGCAGAGAAAGAATTGGAATAAATTAGAGAATCATTAGACAAGCTAGTGATCATCACCATAGGTAGTAGATCCGATCAACATTTGGACCCTGCCATGTGTTAACAACAGGTTATACATTAGTAACAAAAAGATATAGCAATTCTTAGTCTGATGGAGCTGGTAATGGGCTAGTATAAACAGAGACAACAGTAATTAGGATGAAAAGTGGTACATACAACTGGAAAGAAGTACACAGAGTATCATGTGAATACCAAGGAAAGGTACAGTTTAGGAAAGAAGAAACTATGAAAGTCTTTATGAAGAAGAAGGCACCTGAGCTGATTTCTGAAAGCTGACTTTGAGTTCACCAGTTGAAGGATAAGAGACTAGAGACATAGTCAAAAGTGGGGACAGGAGCAAAGCCCAGGGACAAGAAACAGCAAGGTCCATTCAGGTAACTCTGAGCAGCTTGTGTTGCTGACATCTAAAGTGAGAAGCAAAGAGGTGGAGACGAGGATGGGGAGGAAGACACTGAAGTGCCATCTTAATACCTAGCAAAGGTTACGTACTGCGTGGTTTCACTTATGTGCCATTCTGTAAAGCAAAACTATAGGTGCAGAGAACAGATCGATGGCTGCCAGAGGTTAGGGATGGGGGAGAGTTTGACTGCAAAGGGACAGCTTGAAGGAGATTTTTGG